GAGAGGAGGAGGAGGCACAGCCAGAGAGTTTAACCCAAAAGTAGAATTATAAAGGGAATAATATGAATTGAAAAAGGAATAAGACAATCAGTCATTTACATGGCTTAAGTTGTAGCATGCTATGCTAAAGTGAGTAATTATAGCCCTGTTCTAACACCAGTAACTGTGTGAGGAGGTTTTCTGGGTTGTGTGTAAAAATAAAAACCAGTCTCTGTTTTTTTCTTCTCTGGGTGAAGGCTGAACTACTCTCACGGTTTAATGATTACCCTCAAACGCTCCACAGACGTGTGGAAAAGAACAAGCTGAACTTTAGCGGGACACACTTCAGAGTTTTGTTGTGTCTGCTGTTTCCCAACACTTTTACAGGGCAGCTTTTTTTATCAGGAAAGATCCTGTTTTGCTAGACGAGGTCAAAATAAGCCTTGGCTGCACCTTTTAGATGAGTTTGGCCTCATAAATTAGTTTTATTGCGCACACTTTGGCTTAAAAAACACGTAACACAAACGTTTGTAAATGAGTTTGACAGTTATGACTAAAACTAAACCTAAATAAACCAAATTGTTCATTACAAGTATGTAAAAGAGTCCAAATAGATTTTATATTTCATGTTTAGTCTCTAAATATTACTGATAAATAATGAATGGTGTAAAATAACAGCCCTGAGCAATTTTTGCTCAGTTCAACAAGTTAATGTTAGCTTGCTATGCTAACAGAACAAGCTAATGTTGGGTTATTTATAGTTCATTGACGTAAATATTTTGTTTAGTATTTATTACAAACTAACAAAAAATAGTTTGTTTCACTAAATAAAATGTGACTTGATAACAGACTAGTATTGAAACATTTAGTTATTAACAATCATATAGTTAGTGTGTACTAGCAAGCTAACGCTAGCTTGTTTTTCCACTGCACATATTTTTGACTAGCTACACTATATTGCCAAAAGTATTTGCTCACCTGCCTTGACTCACATATGAGCTTAAGTGACATCCCGTTCCTAATCCATAGGGTTCAATATGACGTCGGTCCACCCTTTGCAGCTAGAACAGCTTCAACTCTTCTGGGAAGGCTGTCCACAAGGTTTAGGAGTGTGTTTATGGGAATTTTTGACCATTCTTCCAGAAGCGCATTTGTGAGGTCGCACACTGATGTTGGACGAGAAGGCCTGGCTCTCAGTCTCCGCTCTAATTCATCCCAAAGGTGTTCTATCGGGTTGAGGTCAGGACTCTGTGCAGGCCAGTCAAGTTCATCCACACCAGACTCTGTCATCCATGTCTTTATGGACCTTGCTTTGTGCACTGGTGCACAGTCATGTTGGAAGAGGAAGGGGCCAGCTCCAAACTGTTCCCACAAAGTTGGGAGCATGGAATTGTCCAAAATGTCTTGGTATGCTGAAGCATTCAGAGTTCCTTTCACTGGAACTAAGGGGCCAAGCCCAGCTCCTGAAAAACAACCCCACACCATAATCCCCCCTCCACCAAACTTTACACTTG